CGGAAATGCGATCAGAGCGTTAATTGAGTGAATGACTGACGTGCCTGGATTCGATGAAAAGTTCCAACGAAGGCAACGTAACATGATTTCGGTCGCAGCTTTATTACTGACTTAATTTCAAGCGATGCGAGTCTCGAAATTACTGTCCTCCGTTTGACAGACCTAATGTCAAATAAATGGGAACTGCCTCTGCTGGCGAATCTGAAGGCATACGTTCCTCAACCGCGGAGGCTGACCGGAATCAGTCGCAGATCTGTAACGATTTCACAAATTCTCGGTGCGAGTCAGAACAAGGAGATTATGAACCCAGCAATCACTATTTGACCCTTGTTAACGAACAGGGGGACAGCAGAGACGGAGATTTTGGCAGCGTTGCGCGGATATGTGTTTCTGAGTTTTTTCATCAGTGATCAAGTATAAAAAGAAGTCGAAAAGAAAATTTGTTTTCACCGGTGTGTTTTGTTTCTAGGGGTTCTAGGCGAAGCTTGCAAATGCTTTCAATTTATTATTTTAGCAGCGTTGTTCAGATTCAGGGAGTTCGCAGCCACCACTGAATATGGAGCAAGATCGAACTAAACAATTACAATAATAAAACGAAAGGTGTACTTAAGTAAGCTAACGATTGTTAGCTTTAATCCGAAGAAAACAGTGCCTATATCCACGCGAAACGTTTTCCAAGCATACCGCCTACTTTGGAAAATATCTTCATCAAATCTGTATCTGTTGCCTTGTCGTGCACTTTCTTGACCATGGCATTTCTGAGCGGCCTGTTTGATTATTAAACATTTGATTTAGCGCTGATTGTTTTAATGTCGCAAACGAGACGAGTAGCATTTAAAGCTAGGAGGCCTTTACAGCTTATGTTCTCCTGCATCTGTGTCACGTGATCATGACACCCATGAATAAAATGACCCCGGACGGAGACTAATCCATGAGCTTTCGATTACAGGTGTACCCTTATATGCGTGCATGCGCCTTACGTGGAACTTCGCCGCTGTTTGACTTTGCTAAAAACAGCAATGAGACTAACGTTCTGAAAGCGATTTTTCGCATTTAAAGCACCGACTCTTTCAGGATAAGCGAATCTTAAGCGTTTTACATTTTTTCTTACGCAGTGAAACAGTCCAAACGCTGAAACTTGAGTATTTATGTTTCGTGTGTTGGCAGTCATACTGATAACAAGATAAAGCACTGTTTGTTTATGCACGATGAAAGCAATTTTGTTACTTAGATAAGTGTCTAGTACTGACGTGTCGCTCCGTGTCATCTTTGCTGTCAGAAAATGACTGAGCTTTGTAAATCCGTCTGAAGGTTCGCAGTTTATCGAAGGATAGCAATCACGAGAGGCAATTTCGATCCGTGCTCATGGTTAAGTAATTTTATGACAGCAAGAAAGCCAAGACTATTCATCAGTTGGATTCAATTCAATTGATCATGTTGAATTGGGTCCCCTTCAATCTTACGATATAAGAGTTGACCGAAAATTTACGTGATTTATTCCTAACTCTCAATTCAACATACGAAATACCTGCTTTATATGTACCACTTCAAATCATCACAGGTCGAAGGACTTCTTTAATCCAGTGCATGGTAGAATATTTCGTACAAACTTTACCTTCGTCTACGAAATATTCTAAATCAGAATATACTTTCCTGTACCTAGTGTAGATGACTAGTGTAAGACTGTCTTACTAGGCACATTCAGCCTACGTAACCCGTTCTTCCTTCAGGCTTTGAAGAATCTCAAAAAGTTCAGCTAATGGACAAATAAAAACCAAAAGCCTACTGATCGTCTCGTGCTTTTACAAATCGATATACGCGAAAGCAAATCCTTAAAAATGCTTACTAAAAATACAATTTCCACTTTACTTCTCTTGGCAGCATTGCATCGTCTACTGAACATCAGCCTGTTTTGACCGATTGCTCGATGAATGACTCTTCAAGACTTTGCCACCAACTCCTGCTTTCTGCCTGTCATTTATTTTTTATCAATTCAATGAACTTCTTCAGCTCGTTGCGCCATTCACCTAAACAATTTCCTACGCGCCATTCACTCCCTTCGAACCCAGTCTAGCGTCTCTCGGATCCTGCGACAGCGGTTTCTTGTTGGAACGTGTCCTCTCCGTGACTGAGTTGAATCGTTCACTCAGGCAATGAAAGACACGTACTCTCGTTCAATAATTATTCTTCCTGCCTTTACTTGTTATACCCAGTATATCTTTTCATGTTGCTTTGTGTAACGTGAAGTCTTCATGCTTAGTACTCACATTTTATATCCACAGGATATCTTCCTGATTCAAGCAAAAGGGCAGTTTCCTGGTTATGAACATTTTCAATCTTGGAAGCACTTCAAGGTATTTTAATTCATTTGTAGATATCAGATTCGCTTCTCCGTTGCATAGATGAGCTGTCTCAGATAGACGTATCTCAACGTTACTGGTGGTCATAACTTGATCTGATTAAAACGGATCAGAGTGGATGCTTTAATAGTAAAAGGAAGTTCAAATCTTAAAATGTCAACTTGAACTTTAATAGTTGTCGATACGTCAAGAAATAATGGTCCTCGTTTCCCATTTCAGAGGTGGACTTCATTCTCTTAACTAGATTTTGACTTTGCCTTCCTCTACAGACTGGTAGAATTGACCGCACTTCACGGGAGCGATCATATGAAAAATTTCGTTCACGATTCAGGATATGGGAGAATTCACATGCAACTGACATGGCAACTGGGTAAAGCTTTGTAACAGAATATCTCTGCGAAGTAATTCGTCTTGCAATATAAATTTCAATACACATACGTTCCTAAATAGTTGACAAAATAAACAACGTAACCACAGTGAACATAATACAAAACAAATCCCAAACCAGAATTGCAATATTTGTTAACATATTGATAAAACAATCTAAAATATATCCAGAGCTCAAAACAGATGAATTATATGCACTCGTGAAATACTGTCTAATTTTAAAAGGACAAACGTTCAGTATGAAGGTAGCGACGTTGAATCGAAAAGCAGATTCGAGATTTTATCGACAAGAACATCGTCACGAAATCGAATACTGTACAGAGATTTAGAACCAACCTCCAAATAAAAATTTCAGATCATAGCGAAACAGAGTATATTAAATACTCGAGGTAAGCGTACGACATACAGGCATACCATAAAAGAGCCGATTTTTTAAGTAATTGCAATGTAAAATAATGAATAAAACAAAAATATACACAGAGTGAAGTGAGTATTAAAGCTCAGCATTTAACACAACCAACTTCAACGTCGTTTTACCGCTTCAGTTAGGAAGAGCTCTGGCAAAAGGTGGGGCTTCCTTCTTGACGTCGCCGAGACGTTTTTCTAACGAAGGTGGGTCGCGTGCCCTTTGACTCTGCTGACTACGATGCAAAGCAGACTGCGACTTCGTACTGCTGTCTTCCGGTTCAGGGCACTACGAAAGAAACCAATTAAGTTGAGGAAGGTTAAAGTGATACAACGAATGAGACCAGCAAAAACTGAATCTAGCAGCAAATCGTGAATTGTTAAAGTTTGGCTCCTAAATTAAATTCAACGTCAAAGCGGCCGGTTACAAGCATTTGTGGATCGGTAAGCACAATAATCAGTTAGATAAAATATTTTTCTTTCGACGTCAATTTACGGTTTATGAAAAAATCAAAGGTGCATGCATAGGAAATCAATTCATTTCATTTGTCTTTTCAAACCATACTGCTCTGGCATGTCCTCCAGTTTCTGCGAAAGCAATGGTGATGTCTTCGTTAACCATCTCAAAGGAGAAAAAATCCTTCGCCTTCTGAAGAGCTCTTTCCCGAAAAATATCGAGCAACTAATTAACCCTGAAAGCTACCTCTTCTTCCGACTACAGCAAAACAAATTTATCATCAATTTAACCTACAAGTTGGAACAAATATTAAATTTTATCGTAACTGCGTATAAATCGTATAAAAATCGTAACTGCGAATAAACAGTAAATCACTCATGTTCCCGGAATCAGGAACGAATATGTTATGATATTATAAAATGTTAACTCAGATCCTGAAGTCTATAAAGAAATCAAATTGGTTAGTCATAAGAGAGATTAAAAAATTAGTAGAAAAATAGTGCATGATAACAAAATGTTAATCAAACTAAAAAAGCCTCCATAAACAGATTTGTATTTCTGTAAGAAACGGAATATTTGACCATCGTAATTAAAAACATACGCCGCAGCTGAACTCAGTAGAAATGTGAATACTCATATTCATCGTATGTGGCGTCATCGCCATGAATGATGATACCCGGAATAATTCCATAACGGACAGATCAAATTTAGCCCCATTCAGAGGAAAGAAGAGTGATGGCATAATTCGCTGGATTGGGCAAGTAAAACGAAAATACGCAGAGTACGCAAAAAACGTCGTGGTCCAAAGACTGGCGCCACGGACACGATAAACGAGAAGACCAAAGAAAAAATTCGATAGGGTAAAAAAATGGAATATGGTTGACACAACTGACTCTAACAGTAAAATGCTCTAGGAAAATGAGGCAGCAGCAATTACAGCGCAATCAGAGTGAGTCCGAATTTTAATAACAGCGTATAAAACATACAATTAACTCGATGTCAGAGTAATAACTACTTCACTAAATTCACTGATAACATAAAAAAACCGTAGAATAATGAATCGTTAAATAAACTGACAGTGATAATACCGAAGATTATAATATTAAAAATAACCCTACTAACTCTTCCTTAAAGCCTAATCCTTCTTCCTTACTAGACCAATTATTAATAAGTAACAAAAAGTAAACAACATTAAATATATAAATACTATGAAACACGAAGTACACGATTAATTTAACAAAGTTGCAACAAACCAATTCTAAGCCATATTAATCAATTCACTAAGATGGGTTTTCAAACAATCAAACGGTCGCAGGAAATTTTAAATAAATAGAAAACGCTTATGCATAGAAAACAAAACACCGGCTGACCGGTACCACTGTTGGAAGTGATGGAGCCGAATAATTAAATTATGCAACATTCAAACTCCCGTCACTCTCCGTTCCACTTACAAATCAGTAGGGCCAGACGCGTTCTCATAACTTTTGACTTCCGGTCATTACGACATTCATGTCGGCTATGGCATACCCTGTTGCATACGGAATCCATAAAAGAACAAACCTCGTCCCTGTACTACTAGCAATGACAGTATCATCTGCATGCTAAAGGACAAAAAGATATCAACCAGATACCGAACCGCAGCTTCCTTCTAAAATGAGCCATTAATTTTTACCCGGGTCAGCAGTGCCTCGAAGAAAACAATCGATAACCTGTTGAATAGACAACGCAGAATCAAATTTCCCTGACGAACTGCACAGTTAGTAGGTAACCATTCAAGCAACTTTCTTTCGACTATGACATCAAACACGGTTCTTGAATAAATTTCTTCTAAAATGGAAACGACATGCTCAGATATTCCACAGAATTTCAAAACTCTTCATATCATTAGACGAAGTAATGAATCAAACCCAGCTTTAAAGTAGAGGAAACTGGCAAATAAGACAACCGAAATCGTCAGTATGATCCTACGCATAGCGAAACTTTGGTTAAGGCAGGAGTACTCCATCCCGAAGTCTTCTTGATTTGAGCGAAGTCTCCCTTCTAGATAATATAAGAAAAAGTTTCCTGAGAGATGACAGCAATTGGACAAATTTTCATTTACTCCCAGTGTTTACCTTCAAATCTTCCTCTGAACTGCACACTGCTTAAATACCATAGTATTAACGGCCTCATAAAAACAGTAAAGATTTTGTTTCGTGTCGTCCCAACTGCTAACCATGCAGTCAGAATGGTATTTGCTTCCTGTTCAAAAACTGGTTCGTTCAGTTTCAGAATATCACGTTTTCAATCTTCCCATCAAAACGCAATATTCCCATGAATGTAATTACTATTTCAATCGCAACAGAACATTGTAAATATAAACAAAGACGGGAAGTAAACCTTATTGTCGTACGAGTTCCCCCCTTTCACAATCTGCTGCCGCTTTTCGTCGATTTCAAGCTGGCGCTGCAGGCAGAGGGCAAACTCCCTGTCGCGTTCCTCTTGTTCGCGTCGGGCTTCTTCGAACTGTCTGCGAGCTAATTCATACTCCTGGTATTGCACTTTTTTGCTGACGCGCAAATCACTTCCAACCAGCCGTCTTTCTTTGCGATTTGCGTTGTAATGGGCATCAACTAAAAAACGATGAGTGAAAAAAAAACGGTACACTAAACCATCAATGCTTACACTCTTCCTTCTGAAGTCTTTGTGCGAACGACAAGTCGCCCAATTCCTGCCAGTTTTTTCTAACTAAAAAGTGAAAGAGTGAAAATCCATGGTTTGCAATACTCGTCGATTTCATCAAAGGTTTTGACTCAATCTGGAGATATGCCTTGCGGGAAGCTGATGAACAATACGAAATCTCACCACAAATTATTCACATAATAAAATGCGAACTTTCGTCAAATGGAGCGTGAATTAATAGCAGATTTAGAAAATCTGTCAGTACAAAATTTGGAATAAGGCAGGGAAAAATGACATTCCTTCAGCTGTTTGAAGTTTCTTAACTGCGTGATGGAACCAATAGGAAGGAGCGAAGCTACGGCGGCAAGAGTGGTTAAGATCTGTGTAAGCTCTCTTGTATTTGCGTATGGCATCGTATTGCTTGCAACTTCAAAGTTGCGATATCATTATTCCTAACTCTAAAACGGAGGTGCTTTGATCCAGATTTCTACACTATCTTATGGAAGATGAAATGGACGGAAATTGGTAGAACCCAGACCAAAAACTGTATGACAGTGAAACCGAAAAGGTACCAGTACATCTAAATCTTGAGAGTATAGTAGCTAAAGGTAGACCAGTGACAGATGAAATTCAGTGGGGATGTGCGCCGGCATTAGTGACGAACAAAAAGTAATTCAAGCTCGGGAAAAAAAGCCAAGGTGTTGCCAATATCACCAAGCTGCGGAATAAGGGATTGTGTTCTGAACATCCTTTTCCGTGGCCTTGAGACGGCAATACTTAAAACTGAAAGCAGAAAAACTGGAACTGATGGAAATGGAAATATTAAGATCCATATTAGGAGTGACGTGGCAAGACCTGGTGTCAAGCTCGCTACTGTAGGCGAGAAATTAGAATGTCCAACTAAAATGATCGACTGGCTGTAAGCAAGACGTTTAAGATTATCGAGCTATTGCCACGAAATGGACAAAAGTCGCCTTGCGAAGAGGGTACTAAAAGCAAAGACTCATGACAGGCAGCGCCGCCAGAAACATATCCAACAAAATGAGGAGACCTCGTTGTAACTAACATATCAAAACGACAAAAAAATGAACACTCGTCTATTCTATCCACGTGGAATGCTTTACGGCACTAAGTATCGCCTTCGATACAATGTGATATGAAGAATATTGTTCCAAGCGGTGAAATCCAGATAGGGAAAGAAATGCACTCATTAACATTATGGTTAATATACGGGTTTGTACCTGCTGGTGACCACAAGGTAACCTAACAATGAACGACGGTCATTTAAACTGTGAACATTACAACAGCATCACGGTAATTTTCATATGCTCCAGCACCATCTTTCAACAGTACAACCCTGTCATAGGTATTAACGGATGAAATTTTCACGTTGCATCGAAATGAATTCCACATGCTTGAATTATTGTTCATACGATAAGAGAATAAAGTTCCCTATTATTATCTGCATTGACGAATATAGGTGAAACCATTTTCCAAGAATACTGAGACAAACAAAAGGTACGTGGCCGTTTGAATTTTGACCTTTCTGACAATTCCATCCTCAACATCATTCTTTCATAGAATCAATAGCGTAACTGTGTTAGGTCTTGATTTTAAACCTAAGGGCTGCAATATATTTGATTATACGCTGTGGCAACAACAGCGTGTAATCTCGTGATGTTTTCAGTTTTTTAAAATGTATTTAAAGTTGAGTATCAATTTTAAAGGATGAAAGGCAAATCCGGCAAAATATAAAAAGCCATCACTGCGAATCCGGTGTTCAATCTACTAAGCCTCCCTAACAAACTTGTAGGATGTCGTGAAATTAGGGTCGGCAGCAGTAGACAGAAATTTGTGGTGCGAGTACTTAGCGGTAGTGTGATTCGATAGTACAGTACAGTTTGTCGTAGAGTTGTTGCAGTCATCTATGCGGACAGTCACAGGATCGTGCTCAGGCAATTGACGGAGACTTGAGAAGACTCCGGAATGGTACTGGAAATAACCTCGCTTTCGAGTCGCTCCCTCCAGATCGAGAAACCACAACTACTGGGATGATTTGGATGCATGAAGAACCCAGCAAAGACAGTGAAAAAGTGACACTGAATAGGTCCGGGTAGAGCGCGGGACACGATCTGGCATTGTCGCATGTATTCGACGAATGAACATCAGACTGCACGGGCATCATTAAAAAAGAAACTCTGTGAACAGACAGATAAAAGAGACTTATTATCCAATTCTGTGAAAATGTCAACCGGGACAAAGGAAACGAATTTTGCACTAATTGGACAAGCCTCGTCAAACCTCTTGCCGAAAAACTACTTAATCAGCATCATGAGCTAAGAGCAACTCTTTTGGCTCCAAATGTTACAAAAGCCTGCAGATCACAGAACGAACTTCGCCATCTTGAAAAAAGCCAATGATACAAGAGCCAAATCTTCAGTACTGGCTAATCACACAACTGACCAATTTATTTGTATTGCGTATGAATAAACCGTGTTTCTGTACAATTTTCATTGTGACATAATTTAGTACATTAAGCCTACCAATTATTAAAAAACCAGGATTGAGCGGCTGCTCCCGCGACCCGA